TGCAGAAGAGTTTTTTCTTGGCCTACCCTACCCGACAAGTGTGGTATTCCTACCCGATTACTCGGGTAGGAAGTCAGGTAAATATTTTTGTAACAATTAATTTTTGGATCATTTTAATAATTTAATTAAATAACATGAACAATTTATTTAGTTTTGTGCATCATCACTACCCTTGGTTCGAAGCCCATTCCAACAAAACACCACCCACCATACCAGTACCATCCAAAAAGAAATATATTTGAGAGATAGATGTGGTGTCTGCCCTTTAAAAAGAAAGACATTTGCAAACAATATCCAACCAGAGGCCATATTTAGGTTCACTCGTAAGTATACACAAACAAAATGGCAATAGCCAGATTTGCAACATAGGAACAAAGACCAGGCCATCACGATCCGCAACATAGGATTTGCAACTCAGATCAGATCGCGCATTGATCTGCAACTCATGACCAAATTGCGCACAGCGGCACCGATCTGTTACTGTAGATGAAGGTCTGCGATCAGCCCTTCCAAGCCAAACCACACCACAAAGAGAGAAAGAGAGAGAGAGAGAGAAAGAGAAGTCTGGAACGATGAAGGAGGAGCAATGGAGTGATCGAGTGAGGTGTGAGGCGCAGACACTCTTGGGACTCGGTAGATTAGGGTTGTTTTAGTTTTTATATATATATATATATATTTAAATTTAAAAAATTATTACTGGTAGGGTAGGGTAAGAATGCAAAAATGGATGGCTATTCCGCATTCCTATCCGAAAATTGTCGGAATACCAAAAATCCTTCCACATTCTTACCCGATATTTGCGATTAGCCGTTCAGTAGGGTCGGGTAGGGTAGGAACTTGCGATCGGTCGGAAATTTGAACACCCCTAGTCGGCTTGATCCTTTCAAAGTAGTTGGGAATGCCTTACATATGATTTTGTCAGGGATGTTGTGCAGCTGCATTAAGGTCTTGTAGGTTTCGAGGTAACAAGTGGGTCCTTTGTATAGTCGAAAGCAGAGGTGTTCACCCTACCCTATGGGTAGAAAATATACTTTTTCGTCTTCCTTCCTGATACTTCGCGGAAGAAATTTTTCTTGGCCTACCCTACCCGATCAGGTGTGGTATTTCTACCCGATTTCATACCCTATTAGTCGGGTAGGAAGTCGGATAAATACTTTTTATAGCTATTTTTAGAAAACAACAAGAAAATTTTGTTTATTTATAAAATAGAGAAATTACAAGAAGCAATCATGACACATAGCCTCACAAAAACAACCAAATAAAACTAAGGTACATGCGTCATTTTCAAGTAAATTTCTATGTTCCTTGATTATGAAGATGGATATATTCGAAACATATCTACAACAACAGATTGTTCTCCGCCTTTGACTTCCAAATTTCTTATTGGAAAAATAGAGTATCATTAAGTGGTGGGTCTCGTGAGTGATTGAATGGAAGTGTGGTTTGTTCAAAAGCAAACCACCTTCATAAAAACACAACGAATCATGAAAAAATAAAAACAACTTCAACACATACATCAATTACTTCAGTCTGTAACTGAAACCTTAAACATTTCTAGATCTAGAAAGTAATAATATTGTCCATTAGAAATTATAGCAAGTTCAAAAAACCTTTAAATACACATCAAGTATATAATATCACCTTTAACAAGAAAGAACATTGTTATGGGTTCAAAATTTACAGTAAAAATGATTTTGAACACCCAGACCAGAAATATCACCTTTGACGTTGTTGGGATCCAGCTTACAGCTCAAACCAGATGATTCGTAAGGAAGCAAGGTCGCGTAAAGAGAGAGAGAGAGAGAGAGAGCACCAGATCGCGATTAGACCAGACCACACCACATCGCGATCAGATTAGATCAGACCACACCAGAGAAATGTGCAATCAAACTAGACCAGACCACACCAGATAACGCGAGAGAGAGAGAGAGAGTACCTGGGGACTAAACGATGAAGATGGAGTAGAGTGAGGACTGAGGTGTGAGGCATTCTTGGGACTTAGTAGACGATTAGGGTTTTTTTTAGTTTATATATATATATTAATCAATTAATGTGGGTAGGGTAGGGTAGGAATGCAAAAATGGATGACTATTCCGCATACCTACCCGATTTAATCTGAAGACCAAAAATTCTTTTGTTTTCCTATTTGATTTTTGCGGCTAACCGTTTAGTAGGGTCGGATAGGGTAGGAAATTGCGGCCAGTCAGAAATTTGAACACCCATAGTCGAAAGTTTCTACGGATGGTATTTTGAACTTTTGGGGAAGTGGGTAGTTCGCCACATCTGGTACGAATGGTGTGTTGGTTCGCCTTACCAGGTAATCCACAGTTTTGGATCCTTGTGTTTTCATGGCGTTGAAGACGTCGCCTAGTTGATTCTACACTTTTTTGATTTTTTCGTCCTAGTGGTTAGAAGCTCCATTGGAATTGTCTTGGAAATGGATCCCATGCTCCACGCTTTAGTTTTCGCCCTCGTGCTCTTGAAAATGGGGATCTCCATTATGAGAAGAGGGAGCTGGAGGTCTTTCATGGTGGAGTTGATGTCATCTTCTCAACAGATGTTGTAGTTACGGTGCTTCCTATAAGATCCGGTAAAAGATGACATGGTGGTTGACTCTTTTTAAGGAGGCGTGGATGAGACTCTTGGATGATCCTACATACTCCCCTGATGATATACCTCCTCGAACCCTGATGAACTTGATCGAACGTGGATTTACTGAATTTTTTTATGTTGGGCTCTTAATTTAAACTGGACTCACAACGTAAGTTGAACTCTTAGGCTTGACCCATTAGGATATATTTATTTATTTATTTTAATATTATTAATAAATAATACCACGTCATATTATAATCTGAAATGACCGTTGTAACATCACATTACAACCCTTCTTGTACCGGCGGGTGTCATTTTAATAAGGGCGCTAGTGCAACTTGGGTGTAATTCTGTACTATCTATCTTAATTTTTCATTTTCAACGGATAATAGGTTTTTAACATTAGTAACCTCAACGGATTATAAATACTCACGTCTATGTATAGATAACTTATTTTTTATTAGATAAAAAAAAATTAATCAAGATACATATAAACTAATTTAGATAATTTAACCATTAAACTAAAAAAAAAATTAATTTTAGCTTAACAAATATTATCCATACTTTTCTCGTTAATTAATTAATTATATATATACGCTTGTTAAAAAAAAAGTGAGAGCAAAAAAGAGCGTCCAAATACCACTCTTATAAGTTCTCACTGGTAGGATCATGAGATTTCTAACCGTGCTCGTTACATCTCTTAAGAACCAACTTAATTAAACTAACATAACGGTCAGCCATCAAACTCTAATGTAAACTTATTAATTATATATATTTTTATTTCTCATCGTCAGAAATTGGTTGTAATTTGAATCATAAATAAAACAAATGACTTGCCAGTCCTCCCTAGTTGCGTGGTAGGTGGGTATTTGCTTCGTTGGCAGTTTTTTTTTTTTTTTTTGCTTCGTTGGTAGTTGGGTTTATCCATTTCGGAGTAGTTGAGGAAATGTCCCGTGGGGTAACCTTATAGATTTAATAATCGATGGCTACTCCAGTCACAAAATCGATAGGGTCTTTTATTTTTGGGTTTGAATAAGAAATCGAAAATCGAAATAAAAATTTGGTATTATATCGTTTATTATTATTTTTTTATATTTATATCATTTTTTAAATAAAATTTATTAATTATTGGCGTGCATTCACTTTTTAGATTCACTTATCAAGTTTTTAGTTCACTTACTTTGTTTGGGTAAAGTTTATCAGTTAAGTTTGATTTAGTTTTTATGTATTTTGATTCAATGCTATAAACTTTATCACAATTTTTTTTCTCACTAAAAACCATCATCTCTTTTGCACATTGCATAATGTTAGATAACTCGATCAACACACTTTTCAATACCAAATAACCTCACTAATTTACACATAGGTGTCTTTTTTCTCTCCCCTACTTCTCTCTATTCACTTTAAATTTAAATTGCTTAATTAATTTTCAACATCATATAAAAAAAAATTATTTTAAATTTTCCTTAATTATATGTATTAATTCTAAAAAATTGTTAAATAATAATATAACAAAAAATACACATATATCACATGTTTAAAATATTATTCGGTACGGTGAATAATGTTATATAATTCAAATGAAACTTAAAAAGTTATAATTCATATGCATATCATATTTTGGATAAGTGGATTTCATCAAATTTTTCAGTAAGACTCATTCATCTAATAGATAATATACATTTCAATTGTGACTTTTAGATTTAATTTGAATTAGTTAATATATTTTTTTCAAGAGTAAATATTGGATATAACGGTTATGGTGCACTATCATGCTAACAAGTGAATGAATAATTATTTAATTTTGTAAGATTTACTTATTTAATTATTGTTTTATTACTCAATAATTATACCATGTTAACGTGATAATGTGGTATAACTCTTCAATCTAATATGAAAAATGTTATCTGGACTTAATTTGGGGACCTAATTCAAAATAATCATTGAGTTAATTATGGGCTCTATTTAACATTAGAACTAACAACTGACCTAATAGTTATATTAAAATCACATCATTAAATCCCTAAATTAAATCCGTTCCTATGGCATTGCTCATCTAATATTTACCCGAAGAGGATAAGATGTGCTTGCAAATGAGCTTGCATTAATGGACTTAATTGCATTAAGAAATTCAACAACACGACAAGAGGAAAGGGGAAAGAGAAAAGGGGAAAGGGAAAAGAGAAAAAGAGAGTCACGTTTCTACCTAACAAATATTTTCGTCAACCCCATCGGAATTGTCTTAAATATTATCACAGACAGACAGATACGCCACCCAAAAGCAAGATTGCTTTCAAAAAGATCACGGATCAAGTAGAGAGAAACAAATATTCTAGAGAACAGGAAGCTCCTCATCACCTTTCATGAACACCCACCATAGTTGATCATCTATTGTTCTAAGACACACGATGGTGCAGTTACAAGGGAAAGTCAAGTCCTTTTTCAACAACAGATGGCTAGTTTTTGTGGCTTCGATGTGGGTTCAGTCTTGTTCTGGGATTGGGTACTTGTTTGGGAGTATATCGCCAGTGATAAAGAGCACCATGGGTTATACTCAGAGACAAGTGGCACTATTGGGTGTGGCTAAAGATTTGGGGGATGCTATTGGGTTTATTGGCGGTAGTCTTTGTGAGGTTTTGCCAATTTGGGTGGTTCTACTCATTGGTGTGTTCCAGAACTTTGTTGGCTATGGTCTGGTTTGGCTCAGTATCTCTCACACTATACCTACTCTGCCTTTGTGGTTGGTCAGTTCTCTCTCTCTCTCTCTCTGATTTATATTTATGTAGATTATGGTCTTGATTTGTGGAAGAGGTTGGCTTTTTTTCAACTCTTTGCTGGGCCTCATGATTCATGGTGATTTTTATGTTAATTTAGATGGGTTGATAAGTATAATCGGTTATGCTGTTATACACGAGTATTATAGGATAAGAATAGTCGAAGACATTACAGGTTTCTTGGAAAATTTGACAACTAGTTTGATGCGCCAGTCTACTATTGATCCGAACCAGAATCGAATGTTACATGTAAGAGTAGTTCGAGAAATTGCTGGGTTTCTCTGAAAATTGATGACTAGATTCATTTTTTAGGCTACTACTGATTTCAATCTGGACTTATCTGTTTGCTCATTCTGTTTCCATAAGTTCCCCTTCCAAAGACTAACCACTTGTCTGGACTTTGCATGATTTGGCTGTCATTTTTCGCCTGAATGAGCAGACTATATATCCTCTATATGGTTGAAATTTAGTAGGAAAAATTACCAATAAGTCATACTTTTTCTCTAAAAGAACTATTAGGTCCTATCATATTTACCTTAGAACAATTAAATCCTACTTTTGATAATTTATTGCTAAGAAGTCCTAATCTCCAATAATGGTTTGTTTTGTTCCAATTTTAAGAACTTAAAAATTATATTTTTTTTTATAATTTTTTTATTTAGTTTTATTTATTGGAATATGATTTTTGTATCTTAATTTAAAATCCAAGTAAGTTATAACTTTAATAATCAATTTGTTTTTATGAAAGGAACCAGTTGTTTGCTATTTAATGTGCTTGATCTTTCCTTGTCTTTTCTATACTAATGTTTTGATTATTTGAAGTAGTATCAAATATGTTCTTTCAGTAGATTATTTAGTTATCTCCTTTTAGCAGCAGGGTTTTGTTTTATGCAGTCTGTAATTATGAACGCTATGTTAAAGCAATAAGGAAGTGTTACATGGGAACATGGATTCTAACCTTAGATATACACTCCATCAAGATTTTGGTTTTCTTGTTTTTCCAAAGAAAAGTTGACCTTAACGTAGTCAAATTGTTAGTTGAACCTCGTGGCAAGACTCTTCAATGTCCAGGTATTGACTGATTTGTGGAATGGAGCAGGATCTTCTTTTTATGCAAGATGCTACCATATTGTAGGGCCGTTTCAGCTAAGCTTTGGGTAAAGCCTAGAACAGTATAATCTTTAGAGTAATCTGGATATGGATGTCTGGATGAAGGGAAAAGAACAACTGAATTAGATGAGAGGTGACCATAGTTGATGGAAACCTACTTTTGGAACCAATAGGTGGCAAGATGTGAGAGCGATCTGAGATGGTTTTATTATGCTCTAACATAAAATGGATGGTTCAGTGAGATGTTGACCAGGGGCGATAAAGCTGAAATAGGCTCGAATAGTGTAGTAGTGAGAGGTTCAAAATCTTAAATCTTCTCCATCAAATGAAACTATGGCTGTGAGGAGGTGGCCTGCTATTCAATGTTCACTTTGTGAACCTCAAGGTTGATCAAATTTTCTTATTTCGTGATGCTGAGGCCATGTTCAAAATCTTAGAATTTGTTTGAAAATATCAAATTAGTGTGAAGGCAAACAAGCAGGGCTTGCAAAACCAGGAGTATGTCAATTAATCTGAATTTCTGAATCAGATTTGTTCTCGACCACTTCTTTTTTAATTCTTTAAATACGATATATCGTGCCAATTCAAGTATGAGCTGCTAATAAATTATATGATTAGTTGTTATTAAGCAAATAGGGATTGAACATATCCTTTGGCTCGATCAAGTCGACATATTTCAATTCATTCAAAAACTTTTTAGTTGCTCCCACATGTATTGGACTACACATGGTAAGAAATCCCACGATAACTTAAGGCTAGGTGAAAACGTTAGGTTAGATGATAATGAATGTCTTAAGTGAGGTATTGGAAGTGTTCAGCAAATTTAGAGAAAAACACTAAAAATAGAGCACCTTTTATAAGTGTTGGTTTTGTCACTTGTGCTGCTCGGGTGGATGGTATACACACAGGCCTAATCTTTTGTCCTATTTGCCTTAAGTGATTACTCCTAAACCTAATGTTCGAGAACTCGTATGACAATGCAAGAATCAGTTTGTTGTCCTTAATAATAACGGATAATTATATACTCAACAGAATTCAGTCAACATAATTGTAAATACTGCCACAAGCACATCTAATGTATTGTTCTACAAGAACAAGGAAGTCTTTACTGCAAAATAGCAGTATCTAAAATCAGTGTTGTGAAAAGCGAGCCTAGCCGAGCGCCTAGGCGAGAAGCGAAGTGAAGCAAGCCTTGGTTGCCTTGAACATCCAAGGCAAAGCGAGATTAAGTAAAGTTAGGAAAAAACGGCTTAGACGACGAAGCGAAGAAGCGCGCCAAGCGAGAAACGCGAATGCCTAACTGTAGTTTTTTTATTTTTTCCTCTTTTTCCCCCCTCCTCCTCCTTCTCCTTCTCCTTCTTTAACATTAACCAAACCTAGCATAGATGATATTATGTGTATACGTATAAAATAAATTGATTGATTCGTGTAATATTATCATATGACAATCTGTCTTATTATGATTAGATAATGTTGAATGCTTTGTTTTGAGGTGAATGCTTTTGTTAATCAATTTGCTTGGTTAATCAAATTGATTTTGATCAATCAATTTGTGAGTGTTTTGTTTAGTGATGATATTAATCAATCATGGTGGAAGTTGAACCCACATTTGCTAACTTTACATTTAGATGACGTGATTATGTCAATTGATTATTTTTAGAATACAATAATGTTCAATATTTAATATATTATCTATTTAAAATATGTTGATGTTTATTATTTTGATTGCATTTAAATATTTTATATTTGTAAAGTTAATCCTTGAATATTTTGGAGTAATCAAAATATAAAACTAAAATATTTACATATTTTTTATATTGTTCGCTTTGCTTTGATGAAGCGCTCGCTTAGCTTCTCGCATAGGCTCTAAGGAGACCAGTTCGCTTCGATTCACTTTACGCCTTAAATAACATTGTCCAAAATCAAAACACTTTGTGTCTGTTGCGATGTCTTGATTATTTGAGTTTTTGAGTGAGGACTGGAAAACAAGTCCTTTGCGTGTTTAACTCATCTGGCCTTGCAAAATGTATGCAACCATTAACTGTGAAAGAAAGATAAACAGAGAGACAGTACAAGCTGAATAAAGAATAGATAAATTAGTTTGTAACTTTGTATACAAATTATTATATCATCTGATTGGGTATGTAATACCTATGTAATCAAATTTTGTTTGGAATAAAAAAAGAAGCAGACTGGATATACACTAGACAAATGAAATGAAATGTAGATAAGGATCTGTTTAGAAACGCAATAGGTAAGTTGTGGAAACAAGACACAGGTTTCCTACAAATGCAGGCTAGCTCTATTTAGTGCTATACCTGATATGTATTATAACGTACTTGCATTATGGTTGGATGTGCAATTTTGATTTGCTGTTTAGGGCTTACTCCTTGTTTTCCATCTGTATATGAACCCATTGGTATGTAACTCCTCCTCCCTACCAGTAATTAATTCTTGCCACCTCAAATATATGACTATTTGTAATTGATTAAAATATTTCATACAAAAGTATTTTTTTTTTGTATACTTGTGTGGAAACCAGTATAAATTTAATCCCTTTTTCAGCTATTAACTCAAATTTGTTAACTTGGTTTTGTGTGCAGCTATGCATTTGTATATTTGTGGGAACAAATGGTGAGACCTACTTCAATACAGGAGCTCTGGTTTCCTGTGTGCAGAATTTTCCCAAAAGCCGTGGTCCCGTTGTGGGGATACTGAAGGGTTTTGCTGGGTTGAGTGGTGCAATTTTGACTCAAGTTTTTGCTGTGATCAATGCTCCAAATCAAGCGTCACTTATTTTCATGGTTGCCGTCGGGCCGTCAATAGTGATCACTGCTCTGATGTTCATTGTTAGGCCCGTGGGAGGTCACAAACAAGTTAGGCCATCTGATAGTTCAAGCTTCTTATTTATCTACAGTGTTTGCCTCATCCTAGCAGCTTACCTGTTGGGAGTTTTGCTGCTTCAGGATCTAGTCAACTTGAGTGAGAGTTTAGTCACAATACTTACATCTCTGTTGATCATTCTCATAATTCTTCCAATTATAATTCCTATTCTTTTGGCATTTTTCTCGGAACCAATATCACAAATGGAGGAAAGCCTTCTTCTTGAGTCTCGGAAGCAAGAATCAAGTAAATCTGACCAGGATGGGAATGAGGCCATCTTCAGTGAGGTCGAAGAAGAGAAGACCTCAGAAATAGACTTACTTTCAGGAACAGAAAGGCAAAAACGAATGGCTCATTTGCAAGCTAAACTGTTCCAAGCAGCTGCAGACGGGGCTGTGAGGGTCAAGGGAAGGAAAGGCCCACGTAGGGGAGAGGATTTCACTTTGATGCAAGCACTAGTGAAGGCAGATTTCTGGCTCATGTTCCTCTCCCTCGTATTGGCTTCTGGTTCTGGTTTGACTATAATTGATAATTTGGGTCAGATGTGTCAATCTCTGGGGTATGATAATACACACATATTTGTTTCAATGATTAGTATTTGGAACTTTCTTGGCCGTGTTGGTGGCGGATACTTTTCTGAGGTTATTGTAAGGTGCGTTCTTAAATCTCACTTTTTTAAGGTTATGACCAGCTTTTCTTTTGGAAGAGCACATTATATTTCTTTTTATTTTCTCATCCTTCTGTGTTTTTTTCTTTTACCAGAAATTATGCATACCCAAGACCAGTGGCAATGGCTGTGGTTCAGGTCATTATGGCAATTGGGCTTTTCTTCTATGCCATGGGTTGGCCTGGGGAAATTTATGTCGTTTCTGTGTTGATAGGACTTGGATATGGAGCGCACTGGGCAATTGTGCCTGCAGCTGTCTCAGAACTTTTTGGTTTGAAAAGTTTTGGTGCCTTGTATAATTTCCTAACAATGGCAAGTCCTGCCGGTTCTTTAATCTTCTCTGGTGTCATTGCTAGCGGTATATATGACTATGAGGCAAAGCTACAAAATTCTCTGAGAGAGCAAAATATGGGACCTCTGTTCAAAATACCTCTTGGGGATGAAGAGGCACTCACTTGTTATGGTACCATATGCTACTCTATCACTGCTGCTATTTTGTCTGGACTTTGCATTATTGCAGTGGTCTTGAGTTTGATTGTTGTTCATCGGACTAAGAGAGTTTACACCCAACTTTATGGAAAGTCTTGCATTTGAGCTACATGGAGATGCAGCAAAACATAGTCTTTGCATTAGCGCGAGGGTTTTGAAGTTTTGGATCATCCCTTGGCCGTATTATCTTGGCTCTCCATGAGCACAAAAGTTTTTGTTTTCCATTGTTTTAATTTGTCCACAATTTATTGGAACCAGTCTTCTTGAAAACTTGAATTGATAAGGTTTTTTGAATTTTGGGGCTGTGCTATTCATCTGTAAGCAGCGAGTCAATAACATGCTTCTCTGATTTGTGTTTGTAGATTACGCCGTTGCACCTTTTTATCAGCCTTTTCTTTTAAATCACTTTCTGGGTTGTAATACTATTTATTGAAAACAGTCCACTTAAAATCTTTTATGTTATTCGAGTTGTTTGCGCTTAACAATTCAGCTTGCATCTAAGTTGATTTTGATCTGCAGAAAAGATAAACACATTTTATGCAAGATAGAGAGGCATTAGTTGGGTTGAACTGTTGAGGAAACTCACCCAACATTACTTGCATAGCAAATGGTGAGGGGAAAAATCTTAGGAACCTTATCATGTGCTAGTGATCATTCTCCAACAATCTTAGAAAACTGGTTAAATCTTTTCAGATTCCAGCTAAGGTTGTTGTAATCTTGCAGTTTGTGTTTGAGGTTTATGGTTTAGATTGAGAAACAAAGTGACTCTATGCAGAAATTTCCATTGATTAGGGCAATTTTTTGGCTTTTTATTCAGTCTTGTTTTGACTTTGAAGGATTGTAGATGGTGTACGAAAATTTTTAAGTTCTGAAACTGCATGGTGATAAGTTTGTAGAGTTGATTTCAATCAGAGGTGAGCCAAACTATTACTGAGTCAGGTTTGAAAGCATTCCAGGGGGAGATTGACCATATGGAGGCAACACTTGATCAGCTGGGGGAACAGGTTGGATTTTTCGTAATCTGAGTTATCACAGCCAAAAAAAACCGAGTCTCAGCAATTCAAGTGAGAGTTTATTAGAGTAGCCACGCGGTAAAATGAATGAACATCACTTGGCTAATGGGATTCTCTTTGTGGAGGGACCTGTTAGTAGCTCACACAAGCTGAAGTCCATTTAGAAGGTTTAAGAGATTTTTATGTCAGTTTTGCAGCATGTGATGAGGCAACCAACATAATGGTCATCATATTATTGGTAAGGATCAAAATTTAATTTTGGTATACAGTTTTGGTGAACTTAGAAACGGAAACGTTTTGGTAATGTTTCGAAAACAAGATAAAAATAAAGAAAAAATTTAAAAATTTGTTTCCAAAACAATGGTCAAAACAATTGAAACATAGGTTGAAATACACCGAAACACCTTAAAACATAAGAATTCGATATTCAATTAATGATTCGTTTCGATTTTTTAAAAAACGAAAGCGTACGATCGTTTTGAAACGAAATTTAATTCTTTGATTGTAGGTAATATCAAATTAGAGTATGGTTCCAAGAGGATTCTATTAGGAAGCACATAGGTGAGTCCCATAAGTATAAAAAATACTGTCTTTTTTTTCATAATGAACTGTCGACACCATTTCTATATTTAATCTCTCTAAACCGAGAAGAAATGGGGCTTAATAAGCAAATTATATTCAACGATCTGCAGAAACTATTAACTCTTAGTATGTAAAGGACAAATAAAAATTTTCCTATCAGCCAAGATTTTGGAAATCTAAACCTCATTCAAAAATTAATGATGTTACCTAATGGGTTTGCTCATACATTTGATTGTTCATACAATTGAACAAAACCATTAGGTAACAGCTCATGGTAGTCTTCACAATTTTCCAGAGCACAAAGTTAGCATGTTTTAACAAAGAAAATAAAATAAAAAAATAAGTGCGACTTACATCGACAGAACTGTAAATTAATTTTTTAAAATAAGATAAAATTATTTTTCACTTGCTTTTTTTAAACATTGCTATTGACAAAATAAAAACTTGTGCATTGAGTTAGACTTTTTATACATTGGAATTTTCTCTTTTAGTGTGAAAATTTTCATTCTCATTAAAACTTGTGAAATTCAGAAAAATTGATCCAAAATTCTTGTAATTTCAATTTTTTGGGTTTGATTTAACAAATTCCCAGAACTCTAAGTCTAATATCCATTATTCCCATGTTGAAAATCAAAGATGAAATGGTTCCAAAAAAAACAACAATATTTCAAAGATTTTAAAAATTTGTTCTTGGCCCCTTGAAAAATCTGCATTAAACCCACAGGGGTAGTTTAGTAGTATTAGGTAAGCTCGGAGAGAAATCGTAAACTCTGATATCTTGAATTCAATTGTCACCGGTGACTCTTGAGTCAATAATTATAAATATTTCTGAATATCTTGAAAATCCAAGTCTAACGTAATCTTGCCTCGAACAATTTTCGATCGTAAAGTCAAAAAATCTACCGTAAATCAATTAACAAATTTATACAAGTGGTCCCACTCACCAGAGTTAAACACTGACCAGAGTTAAATATTGACCATAGTCAGGTTATATTGCTAACAAAAAACTTCAAATACGAGGGAAGGAAACACATGCTACTTTTTATTTACTTGGTATAGTTTTCCAATTAATTTTCCAAGATTTGGAAATTCTGAATTCTGTTGTGGGGTTTGTGGGATTTTATTTTTTCAAAAGATTTTCTTCGGTCGGAAATTCTGGATCTTGTTGACAAAGAAGCGGGAAAAACAAAAAATTTCAGAGGAAATCGGGTAATTATAGCATTTCTTTGCAAATCTATGTTTAGATCCATATTGAATTTGTTATCTATGTGGAATATAATCTTTGTAGAGCTTTTGATGATTAATTATCTGCTGATTAGATGGAGCGTTTTAGGGTTTAGTTGAATCAACTCGGATGTACTGAATTTAATTAGTTTGTATATGAATAACTTCCATAGATATCTGGTTTATGGGTCTGAATTGTTTCATTCAATCTGAGCAGTGGATTCATTTTCCTTTTTGTTCTGTTCTTTAATATTGGATTGGGCTCTCTGCTTACTGCTTTTCATGACATTTTGCAGCATCTGTTTTTACTGAGGTTAATTTGAAGTAATGATTACTGAAAATTTTTTGTGAGTAGGTGATATGAACTAGGGCATTTTGTTTCATTTGTTCAGTTGGTGTCTGTTATAACCATTG